TTAATGTCAACTAAGGATGTTTGGTTCGGATTGAATGTGCCAAAAATCTGTCGCTACAATGCTTAATGTCTTTGACGGAAGTTTCCGATTCTCTACTGTTAATAACAGGAGAGAATGTGATTTTACTACGTCTGCAAGTTTAATAGCGTAACATACATTATAAAATACGACAAATATTTTCGCACAATTAAAGAAAAAAGACCAATTACAGTTAACATATTCTTTTATTGTTTTGATTATGCCAGTATTTTCGTAAATAAATAGGAGCGAAAATGCCAATAACCTTGAGGGGAATATCGCACGAAATTGAGAAATGTTTTCGTTCAATGTGATTCTTAAAGTATAACACCTTCTACGACGTTGACTGTTTAACAATTATTTTTAAAGAAATATAAGAAATAGACACAAAGCACAAGTGACACAAATGAGAAATATCTTCTTACAAAAATATCATTTTTCTCTCATTATTATTAGTAAACTGTAATTAACACCAAATCTTTCATACTTGTCCATACCAGGTTGGTCTGGACTTTCTGTCTTGATTATAACATATCCATAGTAACTATTTGCTGAATTATCATGTATTTATCTAAACATATTCACGCATTTGTATTGATAACATATACCTATTCCGACAATATTCTACATTTTCTTAATACGGACGATAACGACATTGGTTACGAGTTGCGCGCTGTTTAGTTAGTGTCACATTTCAGCATTGCCTAATCAGAGATTATTGGGCTAGTGTTGTCAATGAATACAATAATTCCAGCTTCTTGGACGTTCAACCGTTCTTGTTGATGTTATCTCAACACTATTACAATTAGTTTATGACATTTCTATTGTTCTACTTTATGAGCAATTGTATTGTCTCTGAAATGTTTATGTTTAAACCGATACTAATTAGTGTCACTTGTAATACAAATATTGGACAAAATACAAACATTTACAGTTACACAGCACAACATGTGATGACAAACTAATCGTATAATTATCATCTCTCTATCGATGATCTTGCTTTTGATAATTGACAAATTGGTGCAACTTTTCAATCTGTAGTTAATTTTCGGTCCCATGGACTGTTAGTCAACTTGATTGTCTCATAACGATATCCCGAGATTTTAGCGCGTGCAAGACGCGTGCTGGATTCATCACGTGACCTCATGGGAATTGTCCATTCATCTTCAATTGACAACTTCTGACCACATTTTCTGCATCCCGAACACAAATAATGAGTTTGTAAATGCCATCGTATGCCAAGATTATTGTCGATTCGTTTCGCTCAAACAAACAATTTATTTTCTTATTGAATTTAATAAAAAATGATCATAGCTACTGCAGGCATTTCAACTGTCATTCCTTTATTTAATCCCCCCTTTGGTAACTTTAAAAAGCAAGTATCAATTCGACCTCAGTACAATGAGATGCGGCTTGTGTTAATCGGATAAATCATGAAAGGGTCGACACGACTCCAAAATTAAACTTTCGCCATGAACGGCGTGGCTAATTCTTCCTATTTTTTCAGTGTATTAATTTACTAAATGCAAATATGTGACATTGGACGATCAGAATAAATATTTTTCATGGTAGGGGTCCGTTTGATGAGATTTATTTTCACCGCTTGACTATTGTAGTTAACAGATGAGCTGTTTAATATTATTAACCTTTGTTCACACTAACAGCATATTTAGCTTCTTATTACCCCACCTACGAACCGGTGTCATAGACACATATTCACTTATGTTTCAGTCATATTGAAAATCGGACAATTCCTAAATTCGGATAAGCTCAATATTCTTTAAAAGGATATAGAATAATGAAATGATTACAATGAATTGTTGTTTTTATCCCAAATTTTCATTGACAGTATTTAATTTAGACAAAGTAGAATTTTATTTGATATAATGCTGTTAATGCGATGTTCAATGTCCCAGCAGAGTGTAACGTGTGTTGGTTATTCGATTTGTTCTACCCAATTTCTTCTTAGATGTCGCAATCTGTCCAGTCCCTGAGCTATGATTTATTAGTGATGATTAGTTACAGAAATAAGACTTAGACACCGGCAATGCCAATTGGGAAATGACACGAAATTGCTATTATTTTCCCTCAAGTCTCTAACTTTTCAGATTTCATCAGGCAGTGTTGGACAACCTAACATGTTTCACACTTATATACATGTATGTTTGAGTCTCTACATATATTCTAATATGTAAGACTTTTATGATTATTCAGCTCATATTATTTGTTTTCAACGTATCTTTCGTCTGACGAGAATATATTTGGCAATATTCTGTGGGTGACGTAGATTTAATTTCAAATATGTCATTGTTACATTGTGACATATGCAAAAATACTGACTAAAATATAAATTATATTTTAAGATGTTAGTAATTTTAATTAAATTATGAACATTTTCTGACGAGGAAAATTTCTTTATTTTGATAAAGTACAAATTTATTATATCACCTGTATTTTTGACATATAAAGAATATAATAACTTTAATTGATAAAGTATATCATTCGCCTCGTCAGTGGAGTCTTTTTGATGTCCCTTTACACTGTCCGTTTTCTTTGTTTCTTTCTTTTTTTCTTTTTTCTTTCTTTCTTTCTTTCTTTCTTTCTTTCTTTCTTTCTTTCATTCTTTCTTTCTCGTTTCGTTTAACATTTTCCCTTTCAATTTTTTATTTACTCTCTGTTTCGGTTTGATATTTTCCAAAAACTAGTATATTTTTCAAATCATAATTATTTGTTTATATATATTTTATTTACTGGTTGCAATTTATTTGTGTGATATATGTGATATTAAATGGACGGACCGCCGAAAACTTGCAGTAACACTTTTCTACTTTTGTATTATCTTGATGACATACATGTCAACATAAAAAAGTAAAAAAATATATCGATGGATCAGATAAAACCAATATTATATCAAGATATTTTCACTGTTATAATAAATTGTTTTTGATTACCGGAAATTCCTGTCACTTGGGTGTGTACTTTCTTTAACAACAACTTGTTCTTCTTACATATATTTTCAAATAAGAATTAGATATTATTGTTGTTAAAAGTTGAATAACATTTTTTAAATAATCTGCATTCTGTATTTTTTTCTCAAAAAAAAATCAAATTTAACGAAAATGTAGAAAAAAAGTAAAAATATGAAATTAAAAAGTGGGTCTTATCTTTTTTTAAGTATGGTCATAAAATGTTGTTGACATCTAAAACTCTTTAAATATGCGCTTAATTTCTATTATGTTTCTTTCATGCTTTACTACATTGGTTCTTGTCAAATATCAATATTGATAATCAGTTCACGCTATCTTATCATTACTATAAACCCTAATGTGTAAAAATAAATCCCTGGTTACTCTAAATCGATTTTTATAAATTTACGAAAACCAATATATTACGAGGGCATGACCAATGTCAAAATATATAAATAATGTCAAAATCCCCGTGCAAACATTGTCGATAATTGATTTAATAATGCTCACAATATGGTTAATATCCACACGGCCTTTTAGCAATCAATTTTGTGTAACTAGGACAATACACAAGAACTTTTTGTTACCCTGATAAAGATATTAAAATGAAAATGATTAATCTGAATTTGGAACTTTTGTCATAAATTATGACAAGTTTATATTTTCTGCCAAAAGAATTGTGCGGCAAAACTTACTATAAGACCCAGTAACATTGTACGCGTGTTTAGATATAATCTCACTAAAGATAATTACGTGATCTCAACAAAGATAATGCACAAGTGTGTGGTGCTGGATGTTATCCTCGGGTAAAATTTGTCAACATGGAGAACTACCGTTTCGTACCTGGGTGATGAGGTCCCTAATTGCAATCAGACAGTCCAATTGCCCAGATTAATCCGCCAGTGTAAACACCTCGGGCAATTTACTTTAAATGTCTTTGCGCTCAGTTAAAAAGTACCGCGGTCAGGTCAAACGCATTTTCTGATTGAATTATCGTAATCCGCAGTGGAAATACGTTTATCCTCTAGTTTTTTTAAAAGCTATTCTCACGTCACCTTAACCGTGCCATTTTACACGTGAATAATGTAATCGACACCTATTTTGATGCAATGTGTTTGTGGCTTCCGAATATATATTCCGTGTATATTACTCCAGATACAGTCACATGTAATAGTTTGTATAAACATATTAAGTTATACAAAAGATGGACCGGAAAAACGAGAAAACTATTAGTTTTACTACGATAAAGCACTGACGTATCTATTTTACCCTGTATATATCTAAAGAAGTGCAATTCACGCACGCACACGCACGCACGCACGCACGCACGCACACACACACACACACACACACACACGTACAATGACATTATTGTTTTTATTTTATTTTTGTTTTATCCCGAGCATCCGTAAATTATGGATATCACAATAAAATATGTTTTTATCTTTTTAATATATTTTGACGTTGTACGTCATACAATTTAAAAAAACCGTAATGTTAATTAAAAAATATTTGTATTATGATGTTGCACTTTTTGTCTACACGATTAACTAGATTGTCAAAATTACAGAAAAAAATGCCTTTGTAATTTTGTAGACATTTTTGAATTACATGAAATAACAAACGTTACATAAACCGTATAAACCTATTTAATTTGTTGGAGTGTTAATATGAAATAGCTTCTTAAGCGGTGGCATTGAAACAGTCTTATTACTAAATAATTTCAACGCTTAGGGCTTTAACATGGCCTACTACAAAATATTCTTTGTATTATTCCAAGTAATTATCGGTATCGTGATATTACAACTTTAGGATAAAAAGATTCTCTTCTAAGACCTTAGATGCGCTAGGACACTCTGAATTATGCAAATTTTTATTTAGATAGCTCCGCAGATAAAGACGCAGTGAACTGTTATTGGCTTAACCGCCGCAGTGGGCTGTCCGATATATACGCTCTTCAAATCTGAGCGCGTGACGTCACAAATCCTCGTGAATGATAATGGTTGAAATTTGTAACGTTTCGATAAAGTGCTGATTTATCCGCGGCTGATCGCATTTTAAGCTTCTGTAAACATATTTCACAAGTTCGAGTCGTCGTCAGTTTTATATACTTATACAGGAAAGTGTTTTTGTCTGTGGCAATTCTTTTTATTACTTGGAATCAAGCGCTCTTTAGGGAAAAGTGAAATTTCAAGGGGCAATTAACAATTAAAGCTGAGAACTACCTACTTAAAACTAGAGAGACTCATGAATACATAGTGTGGATAGATATTATTTTCTCACAAGTTGTTAACGAGAAAATTCACATGCAGGAACACTTGAGCGGATTATATCAACACGTTGCTAAAGGATCGAACCCCTTAACTGGCTTCGTGTAGTAAATGAACGCTTTTAATGAACCCCTGTGTTATCCAGAAGGACTAAGAGCTTGTCACACTAGAGACTCGAACATTACTATGCATCTAGAGACCATACCGGCCGCAAACCAGGAACACACTCATCACTCCGCGTTAAACACGAGCCTTAACAGTTCCGCTTCATCGTCAGACATGGCCGACTCAAAAATTTCAGGTATGAAAAGTTCCCGGCCGCCGACGGAATTATTATTACGCTATTAACTATCTCAAATGTAAGCTTTTATAATATTCCTAAAAGAAGTTTCCATTTGACTTAAAATTAAATGCATTTCATTGTTTACTGTTTCTTTATTTTAAAAGTTGAGGATGCAACTTACAAATACTATATATACTCGATCTTATATTTTCTTCACTAACGTTTCTGAGCATGCAAAAGTTTGTTATTTTATTAGGAAAAGAGACCTTTTCATTCCAAAGATTTTCTTGTAAATATTTCTACCTTGAGACATTTACTGCGCTTGGAAATACGTACAACTAATTAAAAAATGAAATTAAAAAGGAACCGGAGCAGAAAGCAATTTCATATAGCTGCATTTATTATCACAAAGTAATTATCAAAGACTACTTTGATTAATTTGTTATATTTTTTATGAATTATTTGTATATATAATTTTGTAAATGAAAATTGTTTACGAAATGAAAAATACAATATTTTTATTATTCTGTAAGACATAGGATTTTTATTGTTTCAATGTGAACATAGAGAAATGAATTGTTAATGTCCGTACAGTCATTATAATTTAACAATTTACTACGCACACACAATTTTAATTATGCAAAACTATATAAATGTTCGAATTCCTTCACAATTTTTATTATAAGTATAGCGTATTTCAAGTGATAATTTATAAGTATAGCGTATTTCAAGTGATTATTTTAACGTAAATGTGATATGATTAACCACGAGTTTCACAATTTGCGCGCTATTATAGTAAAAAAATTATTTGCAAACTATTTGCAAAGATGTTTGCAAAGATGGCCAACTTTTAGAAGTAAAAGTGCATGTAAAACACTGTTTGTAAAGGTTTAAGGATTCATCATTAAGTTCTTATTTTATTTTTCTTTCTTAACATATTTAACAGAAAACCGGCTACCAGGGAGAATCGTTGATTTTGTGGATTTTTAAAAGCATATAAATATTTTCATTTTTTTAAGTTATTGCGTCTACAAAATTATTCTTAAAATATTGCATGTAGTTCTAAAATCGGGTTTCTGTATGTGTTTAAAAGGAATTATTTTCTAATATTTAACCGAATGCTAATACAGTCTGGACAAAAAGACATTATATTTATATTGTTATTTTGAATTTATGATAGTTCTATATGACGATGTACTACATACAAACCAAAAGAAGTAAATCGCATTTCATTTCTTGAAAAAAGAAGAATAAAATGAAATAAAGAAATAATGATGAAATAAAAACGTTTTAATACCCTTAATATAAGCTTATTCTTAAACTACGAAGAAAATACGATGGAAATAAAATGAGAATATAATACAGCCGTGCTGCGCTCAAAGACGGCGGCTCAAATCACGTCGAGCCGCGTGCGACTCTAATAACATTTATTTTATGTTAAAATCTTTCACAACGTTTCCCTTTTCAAAATTACCCGTGAAATCCATATACTTTATAAAAAAAACCCATGTTAAACTTGTGAGTTGATGAAGCCGAAAAAATGCTACGCGCTATTAAATATATATTTATGTTTCTCATTAATTCGACAGGACAAACCTCTCGTCGAAAATCATGCTAAGAACTTGCATAGTAAAGTATTCTAATTAAGAGCTTTGCTCATTTTTCCGCTGGGAACAAATTGTTTTCGCATTAGTTTCACGAAATCTAATATAGATCGTAACATGCGTTTTTCAAACGAATTAGGAATAAATTAGGGGTCGTATCATTCAAACGAAAACATCAGAAATGACGGAACAGGGTAAAAGATTATCGGTAAAAATGTCAACTGAATGGCTGGAGAGAATTGATGTCGTGTAAAGAAAAGATAAATGCCAGTGACTTGTGTTTTCTTTATGATAATTTGGTAGAAGGTTCTGATGGAAACATAAGATTACTTTGTGTATTACAATTATGATAAATGTAGATACGTATCTTTTTTCTGTCGCCCTCTCTCTCTCTCCCTCTCTCGATCTCTTAGAAACTCATTCTGTACATTTCCTTGAATTTTATGCATATAAAACAGACGACAAAGAACTTGATATAAACATATTATCCAGAGTTTCTACGACAATTGCACGCGTGTGACGCACATTCCGTTTGCTTTATTTTAACAACAATAATTCTATTTTTATTTTCTTCTTATTATTTTGTATCAATTATTTCACACATTCTTTTTTAACAGAGTTTCAGAACACAAACACAACGGCCTAGTTTTGTTTGGAAATATTGATGTATTTGTTTTACCGCATTCTCTGTTCTCTTTGTTGAATTTTATTTCTTCGCCTTCGTTAGAATAAAAAAAAACGATAATATAATAATAATAATAATAATAATAATAATAATAATAATAATACATGACAGACATTTTATTTAATTATTTATTTAAATATTTATTTATTTATTTATTTATTATATACTATTCATTCATTCATTCATTCATTCATTCATTCATTCATTCATTCATTCATTCATTCATTCATTCATTCATTCATTCATTCATTCATTCATTCATTCATTCATTCATTCATTTTTATAAAATTAGACTTTAAACCAAATGCGAATATTTACTGAAATATTAAAGAATTATTAGTATCGAACTTACATTATGAAAGAAAATATTTTTTATGTTTAAATTAGAATTATCATTATTTATATTTATTTTATGTTAGGTTTAGTTTTGACGGCATGAACGTTTTTTTTTATCGGAAACTGTAGCTAAAGAAAGAAATATGTCTAGAAGTTTAAGTTTTAGTTGTAAGTAAAAATTATGACACAAAAATGTTGACTTTACTCGCTGGCACGAAGTTTATGTGGAAATGATTATTTTTCTACATGGGATCGATACATGTTAAGACCATCTGACAAACACAATTCGACTGAAATATCCAATTTTCTGACTACATCAATATGGAACCAATCTTTGTACCTTGTTTATTTTGTTTCGCTGTCAAAACAAGCAGTATGTTCTTAACATATATTTTGTAACTCAAGTATCTCGACTTTAAAACTGCTTGAAATTGATGTTAATAGCTGTTGATATTACATAGCTTTATCCAATTACGTATCTCTCCCCACTCCCCGGGAGCTGAAGAAGTCCCGCAGCACGCCATCTTTCTTCTGCGACTTCTAGATGCGTTCGGCGGCCGCAAGATGGCGCCCGTGAAACGAAGCCGCCCGCCAATCTAAGTGGAACCTGCAATATGTAATAGGAATGTAACTTTCTATCTCCACTATCTCCGGAGAAACAATTAATATACCAAGAAAATATTAATAGTCTCATTAAAGTGAAGTATCCATCGTAATTTTAATCTTTTTATTTCAAACGAATTTAAATTAAAGGAAAATTAGATGGAACAACTACGGTAGGCTATCGAAGGTTAATATCATTAAGTCAAGGTACAATTTGTTTGAACGCAAACCACCGTTATTTGATAATCTAATGATTCGCATCTATTCTAGTTCTTTTATTTTTTTTAATCTGTATCAAAGTTCTTCATCACAAACTTTGCTTCACTATGATCTGTTAACGTAGACATGTGTACTCGATTATCAACAATTTGTCTAGATGCCTCCTCCATTATCTAATGGTTAAATGTTGTTTTTAATTAGTAAAACTTTTAAGTGTTGTTTTTTTCAAATGCAAAAGTATATTTAAGTATAAAAGATGTACAATTTCCACGGAAATAAAGCACGGTTAATGTTTTGTTTTGTAATGTGCATATTTCTAAAATGAATGGATGAAAATGCTGACAAATAGCGAATTGTATTTAGACATGGTTTACATTGGCAAAAGAAGGTGCACGTGTTCTGAATCATTATTGTTGATTAATGATACATTAACACTATATCTCTTATATAACTGTAAAGGTAAAACATATATACATGTATATATATTCTAACTTTACAGTTTTCTGTCGCCATTTTAACAATATTTTTGTCATTTCTAAAAGAAAAAAAAACTGAAATTTCGCGTTCCTTTTAAAGTTACGATCGGAGACACACTTACTTTAAAAAGAAGGAAAAAACACTGTGATTTATTGAAAGTTTTAATGATAAGTAACTTTATAGGTACTTATCAACATTTATATCTTTGATGCTCTCAAATTACGCGAAATTCGTTTTATTGGGCCCAGAAAATATATTTGGAGATATATTATATACTAAATATCTACAAGGATTATTATCTGCTTGTACTAAATAAGCAAAGGCTTTTTCCGAAATCATTTTATCCGGATGTTATCCAATAATTCAACTTTAAATTCTGCAAAATTACATTGTAAATAAACCCAAAGAACAATAAATCATACAAAAGTGTCTCTTGTACCGGCAATACTTAGTGATTTTTGACTGGCGCGTTCATGTTTTTGGGCACAGGTTATCTGTTTAACGTATTGCTGGTAATATTAGACCATTATTTATGGATAAAGTCAGTGACTTTGTTTGTCTTTTTGTCTGTAGAAATTTTAATAAACTCGGGTAAAGGAGAATCTACGAGAGGCATTATTGATTTTACTAAGACCACCGGGGTTTATTAATTACCCCAATGACTTGAAATTAACCATTATTTAAAATATATACAAAAAGCATAACGTTTCTGTATCACGATTTTCTTTAAGTTTTTTTTAGTAGTTAAAAATACTTCATAGATAGCTAATGTCATTATTTTTACAGTACATATTTGCTCTATTATTTTTTCTGAGTCAGAAAGGGGCATGAGAGATCCACAAAGTACTTGGATAAAACTTAAACTCTTTGTAGTCAATGGTTCTTACAGAGAATATTACTTCACGGATGTATTTTTATGCAGACAAGAATTCACATGAAATTACTTTAAACAATCAAAATCAAAATATTCGAAGGTAAAAGCATTGACACATATTAAAAATGCATTATTTCTTTTTGTATTTCAGTGAAGTTTTGCATTAATCACATAAACTGATATTACAAACGGAAATATAGAATACAGTATCTACGAAAAACAGAAAAAAATTAAATAAATAAAAACAATCAAAACATAACAAAAAGGAGAAAAAAAACAACATTTTTTATTCAACGATTAGTTTATACTATGTTTAAAAAGCTATACTTTGTATTTTGGTTTTATTGAAAGTCATCAAACTACATTTAATAGGATTGTGAATGTTGATAAATAAAGCTGAAAAGGTAACGCAATCAGATAATGTTCACCTTCCGAAATCAATAATTTGTGTATGTTTGATATATTACAGAATCACCTGATATGAAAGTAAAGAATGAAACGGACACGAGCGATGACGACAAGAAGAAGAAGAGACAAAGAAGACAGCGTACACATTTTACTAGCCAACAACTTCAGGAACTCGAGGCGACGTTCGCTAGAAACAGATACCCGGACATGGCAACACGAGAGGAAATATCGGCATGGACTAACCTCACCGAGGCTCGAGTCAGGGTGAGTGTTCACTTGGATGTGGCTCTGTCATTTAAATAATGTAAAAATAGAATAAAAAGGGGAAAAGAGATAAACATTCTTGTCACAAGAAAAATAAAATTTATTTTCAGGGTCTTTTGTGAATTTTCTTTATTCTCATATTTCATTTTAAAATCCGACAAATTACATAAAATATTACTACCGGGTATGTTGTGGATATTAAATCTGGATAATTGTATATCTCAATATTTAGAAAGAAAAAAAGTTATGGAATATAAAATTGGATTAAAATATCAGGTGCGCATTTCTAGTTGGTGTTGAAACTGCGCTGTTTTCCATGTATTAAAATATTATACACAAGAAGCGGCCATCGTCATGGATGTGCTAAAACCACATTATATGATTTGAATTGCACCACGGGAACACGCGGTCTTTAAGTGTTGAATAATTTACAAATCATTCTTTAATGTACCATATCCATTTTCGTCAAAGACATGCTAATATGTTCTTCAATTGATCAGTTTAAGCGGGATTTTCTTAAGGATATTTTAAGCCCAAACACAATTGTTTGGATTTTGCAGCTCAAATATAAGGTATTTTTGAGCGAGGCTAAATTGGTAGGCAATTACAATGTGTAACGGTAATATTTGTCTAGTAAATGTCGAAAATCCACCTTATATGATCTTATTATGTTCTTATATCAGTTTAGGAAGCGAGAAATTTGCTGTTCGCACGTATAGACCGTGTTTTATCGGTTTGGCACATTGGTGATGATTTTCAACGATTCTTGTAATTAGATAAAACCCCGATATATCCCGCATATTTCGCTTATCTAAAATCACAACCTTATACCATGTAATCGAGAGAGGTGGCTACCATGCAGTTTTTAAATAGTTTCAGCGTTAAAGAAGGCAATATTTATGTTATATAAGTATTTTATTTATACTTATATATACCTAATTAGGCACGTTCCAAAATGTTTTGGCCAAAGGCGGTTCAATGAAATATTCATAAAATTAGTTAAATCGCGACGGTAGGTTCTCACCTTAAAAGATATATTATGTAAACAACTCAGCTAAAAAGATATATTTGGACGGTCGAATGACACAGAAGGCCAAAATGAAAGTTTATAAGTTTCAATCATCCTCGCCTGGATGCCAAAGATAACGTGTAAAAAGTTGTGCTCAAGTGTCCAAAAAACAAGTTTCGTGCTGGTTTAAGTGCAGACATATTGAAAAGCTGTCGGTAAATTTTGGGCCGCAGTTTCTTTCATGCTTAAGTTGCCGATAATCATTTCAGTAATTAGTATTGTCAAAACACGTCTATATGGTAAATTGCGTTTCCACAAATATGTTAGCAATTTCCTACATTAGTCTTTATGTAGGCAATTATGCAAAAATTGAAATGGGAAACTTGAAGGAATCTTGTCAATGTTTTTATTACACATGCGTTACGCAAGAAGTATGTTTTTATTTTACTTCATTATGTTTAATGTCATGTAATTGTCGTTTTATTTCTACTATACAGGTCTGGTTTAAAAATCGCCGAGCAAAGTGGAGAAAACGTGAACGCAACATGGAAACGTTTAAAACAGGATTTGGTACCCAGTTTACCGGACTCATGCAGCCAACATTTGATGACAGTTTCTACAATGGTTATTACAACAACTCCTGGGCAACCAAAGTTCCGAGCCCACTCGGCTCAAAGTCATTTCCATGGGGTTTCAATTCAGTAAACCCCCATCTTTCATCCGTCGTTCCATCACAGCCAATGTGTTTTTCTTCACCATCTACCAGCATCAGTTCCAATATGGTTAACAATGTACCAACAGTTCCAACCAACATGAACAATCCAAATTCCCCGTGCCCGTACGCAAGTCCCGCTCCCCCATATATCTACAGCCCTAACAGGGACACGTGCACAAACAGTATCGCTGCACTAAGGCTCAAAGCCAAACATCACTCTACTAATCCATTCACCTACCCATCAATGTCTCCACGTCAACAGTCACTGTCGGCATGCCAATATGCCACCGTCGGTAATACAGGAACAGTGTGATGATGATCATGTCGAAATGTGTAATATATATATATATATATACATACACCTAATCAAATTGCTCGAAGGTGCAAAAGATCTGAACTGTATGAAAAGAGATCTGATTGGATTCTAATCTTCTACGTTTACTAACATTTCTATAAATGAGGAAGATTTATTTATACTATGTTTTGAATGCGAACTGAATAAAACAGTGACACGTGAATCACATGCTAAACATTGTATGATAAATATAAAGTTTAACTGAAATAGAAATATTTTCAGTGATGAGGGGTAAGATAGAACAGTGTATGTGTACGCGTGCAATGTGGAAATTTGTATGACGATTTAATTTAGATTATTGGTGCGTCTTCCACTGCTAGAGTGACGACTGTATCAAACCTGGGTTTCCATAACATACCGTAAGGTAGACTATTTGTATATTCTTGTTATCGTACATTGATTTATAGATGTTATTAAATGTGCTTTTAAGAAGAAACTTTGTTATGCATTTAAAGACAGAAAGAATTGATTGAACGGTGTTTCTGTTATAGTTGCACAACCATATTATTTGCCAATTAACTGTGCAGATATAATTAGAAAGGCTTCTAAACTTTATAAATTCTTTTTTCCAGAGATGTATATACGAATACAAAAAATTGCTTACTTTAATCTGAAATATTTGAAAGATAGCTAAGCAACCCATACGTAAATATCATTCTATATAGCTTTTGCTGTAAAAGTCTTTTTTTTTTATAAATAAGTGTATTACTGTACAAAGTTTGATTTAAAATCATTTAAGATGTGTAGATATTATTCAAACAGCACTATCTGTCAAGGTAAACGTTTACATATATATTATTAGAGTTTAACGAAAGAATAAAGCACTTATACAAATTTTATGTAATGCATGGCAAAAAATATAAATAATAATAATGTAAAATTATTTGTATTAGTGCTTTTAAACATGATATTTATTTGTTTTTTGTATAGATACGACTGCGACTGTGAATAAATTTTTTTTAGAACAATGATATTTTAGTTTTTAGTAACCGCCCTCTCTGAAGTATAATCATGAAAAATATGGTCCATTTGTCCGACACAAATGTTCACATGTTCTCCCTTACAGGTATTAAATTATCAGGGGTGCGGAAACCCGTTGCCCGACTTGTCCGACTTGGGTCTTTATGCCGGCGGGCAAGTCGATTTTTCAATAAATCTGAGCCAGTAGAAAAAAGCACTGTATTTTTTGTCTCTTATCAATGGGAAACATTTATTTTAGTAAGTTAATTTAGGAAATCTTAGTTCACTATGAGTAAATGCTCTTTTTATATCAATAATTTCGCTGTAATTAATATGTATTTATAGACGGTAAAAGATGGTTCTGCTAGTCTTTCTGAAAATTTTATTGAAATACATGTACATTAAAACACGCTTAAAATGATGAAAGCAACGCAACTAACTGTACAACATGTATACTGTAATCGATAATGTATTGAACAGTTGTATTCATTCTAGAAGGGATAGATTCAACAAGAAAAAATAGAAACGTACAAAAAACAATTTCAATATATTTATTTTATTTGTAAAAGAAACTGTTATCGATTCATAATGAATATCTATTTTAATAGTATATTGTCATCACTTGAAACAAAAACTTTTTAAATTGTCATTTATTTTGCTGAAGCAAAAAATCATATTGGACAATTTGAATACAGATTCAAATTTGAAAAAAAATCACCACAGCAATTTCCATGACGACGAGATATTTTATAATAATAATAATAATAATAATAATAATAATAATAATAATAATAATAATAATAATAATAATAATAATAATAATATTTATTATTATTATTATTATTACTATTATTAACTAGGCATATTGCTTTTATTTTCATTATGATAAATCTGTAAAATAATATTGCTACATACTCATTTTCCAATCATTTTCCAATCATTTTCCAATCATTTTCCAGTTACAAAACAACAACAACAACAACAACAACAACAACAACAACAACATGAGGCTTTAGTCTAGTTTAAATTTCAAAACAAAGCTGACGTATTGTTATCATTACTATGTAAAATATTTTCTAGAATCATGGTTAAAGGGTATGAAAACTTTTCATATAATTTATCATAAGTAGAATTTTATTGTTTCAATAATCTCTCACATTTTACACACATGAATATTATGCGTGAACAGACTTCAACGATCCGGAACAAAATATAATGCTGCTATTTTAAAGTAGGATTTTAACCAATTATTAATGATTTCATGCATACGCCATTCGTTGTTAAGGCAACATACTTCCATATTTCTTTCATACAAGCATAAGTTTTCAAAATTCAAATAATATTTTTTGTCGCAGATATATAGCTTTATACACTTTAGAATATATAGTATAGTACTACAAATTGTAACATAAATATACAACACGTTTAGTTGATATCAGCTTCTAGAGTCATAAATAATCACATGTTTCTCTACACGATCACATAACTTTCTGTTTAGTGCATACTTAATTTATAATAAAAATCATGAAACAAATCCATTACACAAAGTATATACAATGTGCACTATAATTGGTGACAATCTACTCAATATATTTGAACTCTTTACCTGATGGAACGGATTAGCTTCTGCTACCAGTATAGAGCCAGTCCAGCCTGCACATCCGTGGCTGACTAACTTCATAGTTTCATCTTGATATTCAAAAATTAATACTGGACAGCTCCGGAAATGGAAGCACATATAAGAAATTTAATAGGTTTAGCGTAAAACCCAATTTAGATATAGAACAACATACAATGTATACTTTTTAAAGGCCCATTATTTCCCAGAAATGCTTTCCTTTCTCAAAAGCGTTTTATTATTGTGTATGTCCCGTTATAGTTTCCAAGAAGTTGCTCATTGGCCAATTATACCTGGACCATCCTTGCTTTCGTCTATGTTTTATTGCAAATGTACAACTCATAGGATTAGTTTTTATATGAGTCAATACTACATACTGTTACATCCAAGAAGGAAATTTTCGTTTGAACATAATGTGCTTTTGATTGGACGATAAAAAAATTATGATTTCAAATCATCATTTTAAATTGCAATTAATGTAAATAGACACACACAGAAAATTATGTTTCTATGTAAATACATGTATTAGTAAACTAGAAAATTATGTTTCCATGTAAATACATGTATTAGTAAACGAGCAAATTAAGAGTATACCTTTCAAAAGTAATGGTCTATTTTCTTGGCTTATATATTTTCTAAATTGTTTTCTTAGACAGAACGATATGTTCTTAATACAAAAAAAAATAGTAGAGAACGTAAATCATGTCGTAAGACCTGAATCATGTCGTAGAGAACGTGAATCATGTCGTAGAGAAACTGAATCATGTCGTAGAGAAACTGAATCATGTCGTAGAGAAACTGAATCATGTCGTAGAGAAACTGAATCATGTCGTAGAGAATCTGAATCATGTAATAGAGAACGTGAATCATGTCGTAGGGAACCTTAATCATGTCGTAGAGAAACTGAATCATGTCGTAGGGAACCTGAATCATGTCATAGAGAACCTGAATCATGTCGTAGAGAACCTGAATCATGTCGTAGGGAACCTGAATCATGTCGTAGAGAACGTGAATCATGTCGTAGAGAACGTGAATCATGTCGTAGAGAACGTGAATCATGTCGTAGAGAACCTGAATCATGTCGTAGAGAACGTGAATCATGTCGTAGAGAACGTGAATCATGTCGTAGAGAACGTGAATCATGTCGTAGAGAACGTGAATCATGTCGTAGAGAACGTGAATCATGTCGTAGAGAACCTGAATCATGTCATGATCTAGAGAGAACCTGAATCATGTCGTAGAGAACGTGAATCATGTCGTAGAAAACATATGTATGTCGTAGAGAACGTGAATCATGTCGTAGAGAACGTAAATCATGACGTAGAGAACGTGAATCATTTCGTAGAGAACGTGAATCATGTCGTAGAGAACCTGAATCAATTCGTAGAGAACGTGAATAATCATGCCATGATCTATAGAAAACATAAATCACGTCATAGAGAACGTGAATCATGTCGTAGAGGACCTGAATCATGTCGTAGAGAACGTGAACCATGTCGTAGAACACGTGAATCATATCGTAGAAAACGTGAATCATATCGTAGAGAACCTGAATCATGTCGTAGAGAACCTGAATCAATTCGTAGAGAACGTGAATCATGTCGTACAGAATGTAAACCATGTCTTAGAGAACGCGAATCATGTCGTACAGAACGTGAATCATGTCATGAACTATAGAGAACCTGAATCATATTGTAGTGAACTTGAATCATGTCGTAAAGAACGTGAATCATGTCGTAGAGAACGTACATCATGTCATGATCTATAGAGAACCTGAATCATGTCGTAGTGAACGTGAATCATGTTATGATTTATAGAGAACCTGAATCATGTCGTAGAGAACCTGAATCATGTCGTAGAGAACCTGAATCATGTCATGATCTATAGAAAACCTGAATCATGTCGTAGAGAACGTGAATCATGACGTAGAGAACGTGAATCATGTCGTAGATAACGTGAATCATGTCTTAGAGAACGTGAATCATGTCATGATCTATAGAAAACGTGAATCATGTCGTAGAGAACGTGAATCATGTCGTAGAGAACTTGAATCATGTCGTAGAGAACTTGAATCATGTCGTAGAGAACGTGAATCATTTCGTAGAGAACGTGAATCATGTCGAAGAAAACGTAAATCATGTCGTAGAGAATCTGAATCATGTCGTAGACAACGTGAATCATGTCGTAGAGAATGTAAATCATGTCGTAGAGAACATGAATCATGTCGTAGAGAACGTGAATCATGTCGTAGAGAACGTGAATTATGTCGTAGAGAATGTAAACCATGTCGCAGAGAACGTGAATCATGTCGTAGAGAACGTGAATCAAGTCATGAACTTTAGAGAACCTGAATCATATTGTAGTGAACTTGAATCATGTCGTAAAGAACGTGAATCATGTCGTAGAGAACGTACATCATGTCATGATCTATAGAGAACCTGAATCATGTCGTAGATAACCTGAATCATGTCATGATCTATAGAAAACCTGAATCATGTCGTAGAGAACGTGAATCATGTCGAAGAGAACGTGAATCATGTCGTAGATAACGTGTATTATGTCTTAGAGAACGTGAATCATGCCATGATCTATAGAGAACGTGAATCATGTCGTAATGAACGTGAATCATGTCGTAGAGAACGTGAATTATGTTTTGATCTATTGACGTATTTTTATTTGTTATTTTGTGGTAAATTTCAATAACAAAATCAAGAGCAAAACGAACCAAGATTTTTTCTGTATTATTTCTTTAAAAATGTTTTCATCATAACCACGAATCCTGATGTTTCTATTTATTGTTTCAAAAATCCACCTCAGTAGGTAAGAAAGTACTTTTCAAGACACTTTGTATCAAAAATTGTATTTTCTTTTGATCTTGAAATTAGTATAAATGTATATTAATTAAATGCAACCTTTTCACCCCCTTGTCTTATCCAAAATTCATTTATATGTCTGACCACTGATGGAATATGTCTGACATGGAGGAATTACCTGATAATTTCCAATGACATGTTCATGAAGAGAATGGCAAATATATTGCCATTACTGACACAAGTGTAACTCACTGTGGACTACCACAGTGCCAATGGATTTCTACATAGATTATACTAATCTAGATCCATCATATTAAGTGTATTAACACTCCAGGTCATAGCCAAAAATCCATAATACTTACCGTATTTATTTACTCTCTAAATGTGATAATTTAGCATGTACATTACACTAAACAAGTTTCTCCTCAGAATCTTCCCAGCTTTACTTATACATTAAGTGCTGAAAGTGCCTTTAAAACCTGTTAAATAGCTTTTTATGATGCCGAAAGTGTTTAAGTCTTTGAAAAAATACCAGCTGTTGGTTTCAATGCAATGTGCAATGAAATAGTTTTAGTCTATTTCTTCGTGACGTGGCTAAAATCCCGGCATTACACAACGGCAATTACAAACCTGAATATTTTTTTTAATACAGGTTAAGTTTGTAATTAATTCAAGTATGCAACAAATGAAATTTGGCTTACAAGAACATTTTATGAGAATCGTTCCAACATACAGTTCATATGCATATGGTAATTAAAGTATGTCGTAGAAAATTTGCTTAAGAACAACACACAATTAATCTACTTAATATCACATTGAGGAATACAATAACGATTAATAAATAAAGAATTTTGGCATACAGTTCTGTCTTGATAGTGTCTGTTTTATTGATACCAACAATACAAGTTTAGTTCAGCATGTCGCCAATATTCTTGCCTTTGGCAATTAACAATAAAATGTGGACGTTACTATAATTAAACTTACCATCTTCTTGTCAGCAGATACCAAGCTTTGTTGATCATATGTTTATCAAGATTAATCAATAGTCTTGATTACTTCATTTTATTGTTTATTGTGATAATGTTGTTTTATTTATTCTACAAAATTAACAAAAAATGTCCATTTTTTCTGAGAGTTTAGTATAGCATTAACATATCTTTAATGCGAATTAAGGCAGGTCATTTCTTTGAGATGGAACCGAATAAGAATAGAAATATCATTCTTAAATAGCTATATGTATCCAGCTTAAAATCTATAACACTATTGAGCTCATTATCGGATAGCTGATAAAATCAAATTCATTTTTTAAGCCAGAAGTGCAGTGTTGATATAAAAACTGACATGTACATACATTAACAATTACATACCACTAATAGCACGTCAAACATATGAAATTCATAACCATAAAAGTTACTTTAATATCAGGCGAAGGGCGGCATGACCTATATTCACAGATAAAAAAAATGAAACTTGAATATGTACATAGTGTTCTCAATAAACTAAAAATAAAATAACGAGGAATTGTTGTTACAGCAGTACTCTCTATGTTGAAAAATAAACAAAACGGTGCAACGTAATATCCTTGTTTTGTAAGCAATACGAATTCGGTAGGCTACCACAATAAACATTGAGAAATACAACACTAATCACAAGTCTGCTATGTTACACAATATGCGCGAACTACATTTCCACGCTAATGTTTTAATTAAATGTTAAACATAAGAATTCGTATTATAACAACCTTGCGGTACAATCGAGGTTCACGGGAGAGTTTTCTTACAAGGCCGGTAAGTACATGCGGGGTTTCCCAGGACGACGACAGAAACTTCAACACTATTCCTGCATCATATGTTGTTACATACAATCAACTCAAGATTGAATTTTACAGCGGTTATGTTCGGTAAAAGATAAACATTTCTGATGAAGGAATTCGATTCTAGTTTCGAACTTTATTTTGTAATATCTTGAATGTCTTGTCTGTGCCTTGCACGATATAATATAACAAATATGTAAATGAAATCATAGAAATCATATAAAATTAAAGCACATTTTGGTATCATAAAACTGGATTACTTTTTTATTAAAATTGGTAAGACATGTGTGGTAAATATTCACATGAAACTTTTGATTTTTTTAAGAACAAAAAACAATTGCTACTACTAAGTAAACTAAAAATGAGTTCATCAAAAAAAAAAAAAAAAAAAAAAAAAAAAAAAGAAAAGAAACAATTAAGTATATATTGTCACAATGTAAAAAAGAAAGTTATAGGTATCATTAAATTTCATCATCTAATCTGATCAGAAGAAAAATTGCCCTGCCCGCCATCAACATTATTTTTTCTTAAAACAGTCTTAGCTAATCTTAAATGTTTAATTAGACATAGTTTAAAAAACATTCATTGCTATTCTTTTCTGTAAATAAAAAAAACCTAAAAAAAAACTCCACAAAGTATCGTTTTATGATATGACTTTACCCATGATTGACTTATAATTATAAAATACTTTTTTTTTTTTTTCTGGGGGTTAAATCACAAATAAAGAAGATGAGTTTTTAACGTTTTTTTTTTTAATCGGCGTGGGAAAAAGAATATTGCTGTGAAATGCCATTGTGCTGTAGCCTTAGGCAATTTCAGAGGGCCTCCGGCAGTCTAGATTTTTAACTTTGCAAGATTCAAATATCCGTATTTTCCGCATTATTAATCATCATAAAATAAAGATATATGCTTAAATGAATTGTTTATTATTTTCTGCTGCATTTAATCATTAAACTCTAATTGTTTGATGGCTTAACTTGTGTTTTCAATGAAGTTTTACATTTATTTTCTAATTATTACAATATGGGAAACATTTCTAGAGGAAAGCTACGCTACTGTATTTTTGTATTTGTTACCAATCAAAAATAATACAGGCATACATCAAGAAAATATATCCAATACAAAAACAACAACTACAAGAATCAAAGAATGTTGTTATTATTGGACATTACATAAATTATCTATATAAAAACTTAATAAAAGACATTTTTAAGCATGTTTTTGAATTGTGTATAGGTTTATTTTGAAGTAATTGCAAAATTAATGTAAATCTATATGAAGCAAACAGACACATAGGGCAGGTTAGCATAGTGGCCACTTCAACATGAGTGTCAAAACTGACCGGAAACTGTGGTGTGGACAAGGAGCTCGCGATAACAAATTCTGATATTATTAATTTCAAAACTGTCACGGTCAATTTTAGCCTTAATCCCGATCTATCATATAGCATAAACCAATGTTTTCATAGCGATTGTCGAATTCTGTTAAATTGTAGTTTATAACTGACTCGAGGGATTAGCGTTCATCGTGCACTAATCCAGGAACGCTGAAACGTTACTGAAAATATTTCAAGCCATGAATGAAACTTTGAGATTGTCTTTTATCCATGTTTGCCTGAATTATCTCAAATATTTTATCTGTGTGTTATCAGAGAATATCATTGGGCTAATCTATACACCTTCACAAATCCTGATTTGTAACTCTTCTATAGTGGGCATACTGGAAAACTCAATCATGTGTCTATGTTATCTTGTGTAATAGTAGAATATAGTTTTATATGTTCATTCTAACATTTTAAATGACTTATGGACCATGCTGCTGTATGTCTATATTAAACTTATATCATTTTTGAAAATAACGTAAAAAAGTATTAAATTTGTCTGTAAAATACCATTACTAACAGACAGATAATAACAAATATGATTCATGTTAATTATGATATAATATAACTAAATCAATAATTTCCGACAATATCACTGCTGAATCAAAGCTCGTTTTTTCCAATTTGTAAGCGTCTAAGTATGTTTATCATTTTTCTCTGCGTTTTGAAATGATGAATCTGGCATATATTCAACAGGACAGGTTTATAACTGCTGGAATAACTGGCTAATTTTTCTATACATTTAACTGCTAAAGTTACAACTTTTTGAGAGGGGTGTGTTGAAAGCTCCATGTTTGACCACAGGACGCCATGTCTGCTGTCAAAATCACTTACTTTCTACAACTTCGCAAGTCTGCTCTCAAAAAAAAAAAAAAAAAAAAAAAGAGAGAAAAAAAAAAAGAAACACGCCACTTTTTTGACAAGTATTTTCAGCGATGTGAGCAGTATACCAACATAAAAGTTGTAACATCTTCTATCGTCTGCTACCATCTATTACACAAAAACAAAGGTAAACTAAAAGGGGCAGAAGAATGACAATGATTTGTTAAATGATTCGTTTCAAGGTCCATAGCTGCTTGGTTTGAATTTTAAAACAACTATAGTGCATAACTTGGTACCTTAGCAGTACGATTTCTATTTGTTTGCCGTCCGCTTCGTTCCTGTCATATAAAATAATGAAGTTGTGAGATCATTAAATATGCAAAATAGGGGAAAAATAAAGACTGGTCTTACATAATTACCCCACCACATCTTAGTATTTCAAACATTTTAAAATATAACATTTCTTCATATCTCAGCAAGTCACGGCAATTTCAAAGTCATTTGTTCGGTTGT